AACTACCAAGAGTGAGTGAAATAATGTTTCCCTTTATGCAACTAGAGCTCCCCAGGTTCTTAGGTCAGTATTAAAAACAAGGTAAGAATGAACATTCAGGACAAAGCATAAGCAGAAAAAATTAGAGGATCTTTCACAAATTCATAAAGCAAAGAGGTATAATAGAAACCACATTTAGAATCAGAATAATCTGCATACAAACACTACATCTTACCAGTTAATATGCACTAGTCCCTTAATTGCTATGTTGTATTTATTTCATTTGAGAAAAGATAATTTTTCTACTACAAAGAGTTACTGTTAAAAGAACATTAAATAAATGTAGTGTACCTCTGTGCATTTTTATTATATAATTTTGTTTTCTTATCAAGTGTCATTATTTGGAGGATTTGGACAAAATCTTTCAAATAGATATATACTATTGATTTGTAAGTTTTAAGTAGTAGAGATACTCAAAATAATTACTAATGAATTTGTCTTTATACTTTAAAATATATATTATTTGAAGGAATATCAGCTGTCAAAATAACATCTATAATGTCATTCTAATAAAACACACACTATATATGTAATAGCTATGTGTGTGCAGAAAAAAGCCTATAATAATCTTTACCATATTAAAAAAAAATCCAGTAAGAAAAGATCATCCTTAGGACAATGTTTTAACAATTACAGAGAAAAACATTGAGGCAAAATTCTCAGATCCTGCCCTTTCTACCCAAAACACCTTCTTTGATTTCGAATGACTGAACTGGTGATATAAACTTCCATCTCTGGTTCTCCTACTTTATGTCTAATGACTCCAAAATGAACAGACGAAACAAGTGAAGGAAATCTATCCTATATTAATTTTGGGTAACCAAGAAAGACCTATCTTCATTCAAAGGTGAGTACACAGAAAAATTCAATAGTCTGTGAAAAGAGTCTGCAAAGTGCAGGAAAGAATATACATGCAGGATGTCTTTTTGATAAACACTTATTATGGGAAACCAAAGTATTTTGCAGAAGTTCTTCATTACAGTCTAAAGAAAAGTTTTTAAATGTTTTGATGAAACAGGTAGCAAAAGTTCAGATAAAACTAAAAAGATTTATATTTCTCCTAAGAAACTGTGGAATTAAGAAAAACAATAAAAATAACATAATATCAGCATTAAAATGGCAATTATTGTGATTTTTAAAATTTATACCTCAAGAAATAATGCTTATTTTTATTTATATAATAAATTACAGATGGATCAACTAGTTTTCAAAGGAACTCAGAAAATCAGTAGAAAAAAATATGACAATACATTTAAATTTAAGTTTTGAAATGGGCTAAGAATTGCCAAATGAAAATTCATGACACAAGCAGTTGGTAGCTTTACTACTGAATAATTAAAACTTTTGTGTAATATAAAACAACATGAACAAAGCTGAGAAACCAACAAAGTGACATACATCCACAGTACAGATGTAAAATAATTAAAATCTTTAGTATGAGATCACTTATAAAATTGTAGGGAAGAGATAAATGATAACTCCACAGCATATGAGCTAGTAACTCTTAAAAGAAGAAAAACAAATAAAATTATCTAAAAATTTCTCAGTTTATCAGAAATGAATGAATGATATTTTTCATCAACAGATTAGACAAAAAAATTCACAATTAACAGTTAATTTGAAGAGTACAAGAAAATAAACATTATATCATAGATGGTTGTAAAGTGCTATTTGGTTAGTGGTTATCATGAAACAATTTAAATGTTCACACATAACCTTGATTGCAAAAGTAAAGCTACAGAACACCACATGTGTCCTGAACAGATATATTTATAACTGATGTCTGGAAGGCTGACCACCAAACTAACATTAATAGAAATGTTTAAATGACTATATAATTTTCTTTAATGATATCATCAACTTTAAAATATCAAATGTAAAATTGTATACCAAGAGCTCTAATATCTATAAAATCTCTATACAATACAAAAATCATTTTGAAGTGTTTCAACATGAAATATATAATTCTCATCAAAATTGATGTTTAACAAAATAAATGTAATTTTGAAGAATACTCTGCTATTTCAAATAAACTTAAGTACATTCCCTTATCATTGCAGTAAAATAACCTTGGTATTGGCCACAAGTAACAACTACTATATTCAGAAATATAAAAGCATTACAACTATATAACCACAAGGATTATTATATTTTCAAGGTAACTGTGCATTATGCAGAAAATACAAAAAGCCCCTAAAGTGAAAGGGTATTCATTTTTGTTTATAATTCTCTTTCCTTGTAATACTTATTAATGCAGAAGCAAATTATACATTTATCTGAACTCATAGGCTCAGTAGACAGATATATTTTGAAAAGGTTAAGCTATGTTTAGCAAGGTAATCCTTGAGAGATGGATGCTAGAGAATTAAATATTCACTGCTTAAATTAACTTTTTATTTGGTACTTAGGAACAAATTGCCAAGAATTATCATTATTAAATAGAGCACTTATTGATTCTCTGGGAAAAAAATATCAAGTGAGGTCTATGTGAAGAAAAAAGAATTCTTAGAATTTGAAATAAGCCATGAGTAACGGAAGCTGTTAAGTCTTCAAAATGATTCTTGTGGCACAGTGTTCATGGACATGACTCAAAACTGGACAGTTTTGGCTATTTGTGTCAAAAGAATAATAAAATAAATTTAAAATTTAAAAACCTATATAGTTTCTGTTTTTTCTTTTTTTAAAAAAAAACCTATACAGTTTCATGACTGATTTTTACATCTTTATTTTCTACTCCAATTTTTAGGCTTTTAAACGACATTCCAATGAATGTCGCTCTGAACTTTTTATCCAGGATACTAAACCACTTTTGAAATTTCCAAAATTCTCACATTCATTTTTTTAAAAACTTAGTGAACACTAACTTGACAAATTAAAACTAAAAGACTTTAGATATATAAAATTATGATAAATATATGAATCCAAAAGATATATATTTTGGCTAAATAAAAAATACATACAATAATGACATTTTAGGAATTCAAGGTAAAATTTGCAACCAACAAACACAAGAAAAGCAGGTCATTTCAAATCATGAAAAATGCAAGAGTGTTCCACTTTCTACTGAAGCCAAGCAAAAGCTTTAGTTTTTAGTAAATGGGTTTATAATAGACCATAAAAGGTATAGGTAAGTCACTAATAATTTTGTGATAGCGTGATTAAAAGTGATCTTTTAAAATATTATTCTTGGCCAGGCATGGTGTCACATGCCTGTAATCCCAGCACTCCGGAGGCTGATGCAGGAGGACAGTTGCATATTCGAGGCCACTCTGGGCTACAAGGTGAGTTCAAGGGCAGCCTGAAGTGCACAGTGAAACACTGTCTCGAAAAGACAATAAATATATATATATAATTATTCTCAGTGCTTGCTTCTGCACCATATATACTAAAATATTCTCAGATGTTTAGAGGAATACAAATTTAGTACTGAAAAAGGCTCTATTTAACCTAATATTTAATAGTTTTAGTATGCCTAAAAAATGTGGTAGATGATTTTTCAGGATTCCTACCAGCTATAGAATGCTTAAGGGCAGGAGTCTTGTGCTCTTGGTGGGCAAATGATAGCGCCCCTTACTGGGCTTTGTGAGTGGGCAAGAGGGATGTTAAAGCTTACTCCTTTTATGTAGGAAATACAGATATACATACAGCACAAGCAACAGAGGTACAGAATATCAAGAGCACTAAAATGTAATCAGGAGGGGTGGTTGGGGGTGATCCCTTAAAAAGAAAATGCAAAAATGGTGAAGAAAATCTCAGAAACTTGGATTTTAACCACTATCCAGAAATAAGAACTTAGGCAAGTTTTTGTGGGTATCATGAAGCCTAAATTTCTTCCTGTATAAAATGGAAAGTATGAATTCTTCCTTACAGCTACAGATTTAAATAGAAAGCATGTGCAAAAGCACATGGCACGGTGTTTTGCTTGTCAAAAAAAAATCGTAGCTCCCTTCCCTTCTCTCTTCTCTTTTAACAATGTTGTGTGTTTTGTAGTCTTCACAACACACTATGCAGATTCCAAAGGAAACTGAGACACAAGGAGAAATGGAATAAACCCAAGAGGCAACGACCTTTGCACATGATCCTGGGCCCAACTACGTCCAATGATGCTGAAATCTAACTCAAAAGACGGTTCAAGTTCCAAATCTGTGAATTTTTTCATTTTTACATGGAGCTCGGCTGATTAACTTTTATGTGCCTCAATTTCCAGATCAGTATTCCAAAGTTGTTATAGAGTACAAATGAGATAATTATGTAACACCTTCTGGGGAACTAGACAAATGCACTAAAGTTATTTATAACAAGTTCTTGCTATGGTATAAAGACATCCTCCAAAGTTCATGTGCTGAGAGTTTAATTCCCAATGGAACAGTGTTAAGAGATGAAACTTTAAAGAAGGCTCTGCCCATATGAAAGGTTTAAAGCCACGGTTCTAGGACTGGGTTACTTATCCCAGGAGACATTCTTGAGATTTTAAAAAAAAGGATGAGTAGAATGAATTAACTCTCTTTCTCCCTCTTTTCTTCCCTTTCTCTCTCTCTCTTTCTCTCTCTCTCTCTCTCTCTCTCTCTCTCTCTCTCTCTCTCTCTCTGTTTTGTCCTTTATTCTTCTGTCATAGAGTGACACAACAAGAAGGCCCTCACCAGAGACCAGCACCTTAATATCAGACTTCCCAGCCTCCAGAACTATTAGAAATAAACTCCTTTTCTTCATAAATACCCTGTCTGAAGTATTCCATGAAAGCAACACAAAGCAGACTAAGACAGTATGATTCTTGTCAATACTGTCAAAAAAGGACATACTGTCTGAGTCTGGGTACATACTAGCAGAGCCATGGAAAAGAACAAAACTGGCTTCTTTAGTGTCCAAGAATGGAATCAGATCTGTAAAATCTGAACCTCAAAGACAGAACTTCTTTGGCAGTCGAAACCTAGGTTAAAGCAAAATTACCAAAGAATTCTTACCGATCTCTTTGTTCATCTGCAAAGTAATCGCCTAGGAAAGATGGTCCAAAGACTCCGAGTGGGGCGCTGTGGCCTTTCTTGTCAGCGGTATGGCACATGCGAGAGGCCAGGTGCAGTTCAACTGGCAGCTGCTGGGCAGGGGCAGCGGTGCACAGATGGTGAAGGTGAGGCGTGGGGTGGACCTGTGGGATCCTGCAACAGAAAAAAGGACGTGAGCTGCACCTACCACTCTGTGGTCTTTAGACATGAAATACATTGACGTTTAGGTTCTAAAAATGATACCTAAGTGCAGGTGATCAGATATAAAACTATCACAATGGTTTATAACAAGTCCAGAGCTTCAAACTCATATTCAAGTGTTTGCAGCATATCTCCATCTATGAGTCTTACAGATATGTCCAGATCAAAAGGTGTCTAAAGGCAAACTTATCAACATCCCACTCCTAGCCTCTTCACAACCCGAATACATCATATCCACCCATCACGTTCCTCTTTCTACTCCACTGAAATGCAAATGTCCCTTAAAGAAGTAAAACACTATATAGAATACATTATCCATTTATTAGCATGGAGGAGCCGTGTGTAAGTCAGTGTGGCAAATCTCCCTTTCGCTTTTCCGGAACTTCCCTCTCCTGGCTTCCCAGAGGAGGAAGGAGGCACTATGACCTGCTTTCTTCATGCCCCAAGCCACTCCCCATCCGATCAACAAATACCGATTGAACACTGCAGTGTTCCAGGCTCTGCGCTGTGTGCTTTCCACATATTCCTTCTAGCGCTCACAATGAACCACCACTGGACCTATATTATCCTTGTTTTGTAACTGGTTTATTTCAGATAGGTCTCAAGATGTGTGCGGCCCGTGGGATCCAAACACAATGCTAGTAACTAGCCGCCAAATCTCTTTCCTATTAAGCCTATTAACAATTCCTAAGTAGAGTAACCCTTTATTCAGTGCTGCCCCATCCCTACCTTCCCACTAAAGCTGTACATTTCCATTCATCAAATGACCTTTCTTTCATCAAGTCAATTTTAGATGTAGATCACATTCTCTCATGACTTCCAAGCCACCACTGACAGTGTCCGTGACTCTTTCTATGTTGTTCGTTCTCCATGAGCTTTTACATCCTGACCCATCTCATACTTCCATCTTTCTCTCAAAGTTAACATAAATTCAGCGTAGTCACTGGCCTGTCCTTCTGTAGCTTTCCAAACTGGGTACAGCTTCAAAGATTGGAACTTCTCTTTCAGTACTGGAAAAATCAGCTACCAATATTTCAGTTATTCCCTTCTGTCCTGACTGTTCACAAATCTCAACTCAGCTATCACTACGTCCCTAGATTCTTCATGTGCAAAATCAAAATACCTTTGACTCCTCTCTCCTCCACCTGTACCAGCACACCCAGTGCAAAACAGATTACCCTGTCCTGAACAGGGTTACTTGGCGGTCTCCACCCTCACTGCCAGCACCCCCACACAGGGTACTCTGCACCTCAGACTGCACCACACCCTCTGTGTGTTCCCCTCTGCAAAATCCCACCAGATTTTTTTTTTTTAAGGATTGCTTTATTCAACAGAAGGGTTCTTTGCTGGTTACCTGCATCTGTCTGACTTCTCTTCAGCTTTCAGGGCTCTTAGCATTTGACTCTGATTCTAGCTCAATGGTTGAGTGTAGTTCTAGAGTCAGGATGTCCGGATTCAAACCCTTTTTTAAAATTTTCACTTGGCCATGAGCAAGTTTTGATTCAAGTGAGAAAGGTGGATGCATTTAGAACGATGTGTCTCACATGGCCGATGTCAGCCACCGTCAGCTATTATCAGTTTCCAGGACAAACCACAGGATTAGACTTGTCAGCTCTTTCACTGATGGACAGAATTCTGTCTTCCCTCTTGTCCATATCTTGAAGCTAGACTTTTCTGCAAAGTTTTTTTTTTCTTTTTCTCCATGTTTCAATTTTTTGTTACCCTGTTTTCCAAATGTCTCTTTTTATCCATCGCTCTATCCTATGCCCCTCATTTTGACCACTTATCTAGTGGATCAGTGTGGGTCTGTCTACCAATGCCCCCGTGTGTCTACGATGCCTCAGACAACATCTGAGGCATCGTAGACACACGGGGGCATCGGTAGACTTTGGCATTGGGTGGGAATGAGTCAGAATCTCAGTTCTAGGACCTACAAACTGTATTACCAGCTTTGCTGAAAGACTTCAAACACTTACCATAAAAACTCCTAGCTCTTACCTTTGTAAGAATTTATTTTAAAATTACAGATACATCACTCCTGGTGTGTGGTAGTCTCTCAAGAAATGCTGGTTTATTTTTATCATTATTATTAATTTTCAAATAAAAGCACCTAGCCTATCACTAGGCACAGTATGTGCATTAGTCAATCACTAACAGAAAATGGTTTATGGCATTTCCAGACAGTGCAGGGTCCAGTAAGAACATAAGAGGAATTTTACAAATGTTCCTGTGTCAGGGAAGAAAAAAAAGATAAATTGAAAGCATTTGGAAACACCTGAGAAAGAGAGACCTAACTGGCCAAATAAACGGGGTTGTTGAGGAAGCCAGGGCTTCAGGCGCTCTGGGTTCCTATGAAAGAGCTTTCAAGAGAGAGGACAAAAAGGTAAGCTCCAATGTCAAGCGCACTTGTACCATTATTCTGCCTTGGACAGGTCCTGGCTAGTGGAATGTGCTGGAGATTACATTACTGATTTTTATTTTTTCTTTAAAAAGCATCACACCCAACTTAAATTCCTATGCTCCCATTATAGTCTAACAACACAGATTAGCAAGCGAATCTCCCTTGGTCATTGAGCTAAATTACAAAATGCTGCAATAGAGAACTGAATTCCCAAAGAAACAATCTAATTTGAGGTTAGTCACTTACGAAAAGGGTTAGGTTAAAACTAAAGAAAAGGCAGGAGTGAAGTAAAGACTTACAGAAACATTTCTCCAAGGTTCTCTTAGATAATATAAATTTCTTTCTTCATCTCATTCTTGTCTCCCTCTAATGGAAATTTCTATTTTCAACTTTAATGAATTAAAACAGCACTACATGTATCAATAAGATCTACAAATATTTTTGGCATGCTCAAGAAAAGCTCTCTGTTTTTATAGCAGGACTATTTGTCTCCTTAAGCAGGACTATTTGTCATTCTTTGAAACACTAAGACATAAAAAAGAAAAGTCTGACTCTGTGTGTGGCCATATTACTTTGCTTAATGCACTAAATGCAAGGTTTTTTAGGGAAAAAAATCAAGAAGTTTCTGCTTCATTGATAATCTGACAGTAACTATTTATTGAAGGTAAAATACTTGTTGTCTGCTGTCACTATTTGTTTTAATACATAATCTTGCTAACTTAATGAGCTTAAAGCAGTGTAGATAAGCAATGGCATGTACAGGGTCACTTAAATGCCAATTTGACTGTTTCATAAACTTTGGAATTCTTTTCCCGTGAGTCTCTTCTCAGCTACTAAACTGTGCGTAGTATCCATTTACAGAGTTTAGGCTGGTCGTAAAAAAAAAGTTCACTTCCATGTCCAACACACTTTTCAATGCCCTATGCAACAACAAAAGCTAATAATTAAAGGTTCTTTAAACGCCTCATAAAGAGTTAAATGAAGAATAATCTAGAATAAACCAACTCATAAAAATGTACGAGTGAAATGAGAAAACCAGAGTTTGAACATGGTGAATGGTAAAAGGTAAACTATAATCTAAATTGTATTTACACACCATTGTCAAAATTGCAATTATATTCCCATGTAATAAGAAACTCCATTAAAAATATGGGTGGGGGATGAAACATGAAACGATAGTACAGAAAAATAAAGCCATCTAAACTGCCAAGTTAATTGGCCTATGGACGTTTTGTGCTGGGTTATCAAAACAAAATTAACTGATACAATAAGCAGTTGATCCAAATCAGGCATTGCAGTGACCAAAAATAAATTTAACACACTAACAATTTACTTAGTCTCGCAAAGGGATATTTTTATTCCAGCTGTTGTTACATTTGTTAAGGACACTGATCAAAAACATGAATAGAGGGAAGCATGCAATACAGCATCTATATCTGACTAAAATCTACCATCAACTTTTCCTCTGAGAAGATTTAATTCAGATCTCACACACATCTATTTCTAAAACATTTAGTTTTCCTTCTAAAAGAATGGATGTTTCTGAGGGGCTGGGAATTTAGCTCAGCGGCAAAAGCGCCTGCTTGGCAAGCGCAAGGTCATGAGTTCGGTTCCCGGTACCTGAGAAAAACCAAAAAAAAAAGAATGGATGTTTCTGTATCAGTGCTATTGACTAAGCTTCAAATAGTAAAATTTGTGAATTTAAGAGAGTTACTTTTTTTTTTTAGTATAGTTATTGGTAGTTACTTTTTAAGTAGTTTTGGATCTACTTGGGGTTTTAAAGACTTTTTTCGTCTCAGTGGTGGAGTTTCTGATTTACTTCTTCGTGTTCGCTTAACTTCTTTCCCTCTGATTTGCAAGAATTCTGATGATTGCACCTTTAAAAAAATATAAAGTGTACTGTTAAGGGGTGTTGCAATGTAATAGTTATACCTTTCTTTGATATTTAATACCCACCTCATATTTAAATTTGTGATTTCTGTGTATATTTTGTAACAGAATATGAATCCTAGTTCCCTCCAAATCTATTTCTACATTTTACATACACAACTTCATGGCAATGAAAATATTAGTACCATATTTATTTACAATATTTTTCATTTATTACCTTAAAACTACTGAAGAAATATAAGATTATAACCTTTCTTCATAAATCTACTTTTGTTTCCCTTTCTAGTGCTAGGAGTTGAACCTAGGGTTTCTTTCACACATGCTAGGCAAAGCATCTCCATTGAGTTATTTCCCCAGCCCTACCCCTTAGTTTCTTTGCTATGTGGTTACAAGCACAAGTTAAAAATAACTTTAAAGCATCATCATTATTATTATTACTGTTGCTATTTTGAGCAGTGTTTATCAATTTGTTCTTCTTACAGTTGTGCTATTTTCTATTTCCGCTGCTTAGCAAACATCAAATATATTCTTTCTCATGAATAATTGTCTTCTAATCATTACAAAATTTGAAAGTATTGTTTCTGGGAAATTTTGCCAAATTAAGGTATTCATTCATGTAAGGATTTTTCTCCTGTGACTGCTTTTCATTTTTAAGGAAGAAAGCAGAGAGACCTTACTTGGAAGAAGCATAGTGGTATGGCTGAGAAGATGGCCAGATAAAGGCAAGGTCCTATAAACTAGGTGATGAATCTCAGGTTGGTTCAGTAGAAAGGAGAGAGTTATTGTCAGTTCTCACATAGGGAAGTAATGAGGGAGAATAAAAGTTCAAGAAGTACCAAGCATTCCATTTCCGCCTCCAGTTAGTATTTGGATTTCCTCTACAGTGTCTCCACCAAGTGGTCGTTACCTGGCTTGAACATGGTCAGCTACATTTAAGACCAGTCATTTTCTCTTTGAAACTCTTCCAGTTATTAGAGGTTTTTGTTTGTTTATTTCTTTATTATTGAGCCTCTTCATTTTTATCCACCAGTCTCAATTAAAACCTTAGGAACTATACAAATACCTAGCTAGCCTTCTTCCATTTGACAGACAGTCAAATATTTGAATACAATGGACTCTCCTGGGCCTGCTTTTCTGCCTGTTAAACATCCTTAGTGCCTTCAACTCGACCTGGCATGATGAGATTTTCAAAGTTCTGTGATTTTTTTATTTTGAATGTTCTTTTCCAAACAGTATCTAACTTGTCAGATTTCTCCCCTGGGATTGGACACTCCCGTCTGAACATAATATGCATTTGAAGTATGATATCTCATATCTACACAGTTTATTGACACAAAGACAAAACTGTATGTATATTTATTCTAATTAAATTTCATCCGAGGGCAAACTAACAGTACCTTTCCCATCACATTTTGAGTGTCACCTGCAAATCCAACCAATAATGGCCTTCCGTATTATCAAACAAATTATCGATAAATATGTTGAATTGGACATAGCCTTATAGCACACCATCAGGGACTTGCACGCAGTAATTGTCCATCCTCTGTCTAACTAATTTCAAATTCATCCAGCGATCTACTCACTAATCTACCTAACTGCAATCTTGGCTACAAAACTGTTAGGAGGCTTTTAAGAGTGAACTGCTGAAGTTCGGAAGAGTAATCACTCACGCTTACTGAATTTTTTATGTGCCACGTGTTGTTCTAAATGTGCTCTTCTGTAGCATCCACATGTAATCCTCACACCAACATTATGCAGCAGGCATTGTCATTCTCCTCATTTAACAATGCAAGTAAGATAGTAAAGGTAGAGAGAGAATTCCCTCCCTGGAAATGTGGGTCCAGAGCCTGTGACCTCCCTGTGTGACATTTATATTGAACAGCAGATTTAACACTTTTCCAATATTCAGTCTTCTTCTAAAAGAAGAAATGAGGTTGGTCTTCTATGGCTTGTCCTTGGGGAGCCCTGCTCCAAGTGATAAGCTCTTCCTTTCATAAAGGTTCAAGCACAATTCCTTTAGTAAGTCACTTAATCTGGAGTTTTGCCTAAAACCAGTGCATAGCTGATTGCCAAAAGTGAAAACCCTTACCCTTAAAATATAAAAGTCAGATTAGTGCTTGCCAGGCTCCAGGCATCTGGCTTCTCTCTCACCTGTTGGCTAACTCTCAAAATCTTTTACAAATCTTAGCATTCGAGATTCAAATAAATCTTCTTTTCTCTCTAAAGATCACTTGCTTTCTCAGATTTAAGAAGCAAGGTATGAGTGTATCAGTTTTCTTTCTCTCTGACACATTTCTGTTTATTCAAAGCTTCGACCTTTTTACAAAAATAAATCAAGACAGCTCTGTCATCTGTTGTCATTGCACTATTCATCCATAATGACAAGGTTCTTTCTTTTGTTCCTTCTCTTTGCTCCAAAACTAACAAGCAAATTGCTTTTCTTTTCTTTTTTTTTTTTGGTTCTTAATGTTGTTTTCAGGCCTGAACCCATTCTGAATCTCAGCTAGCCACAAGCCACTTTTATGTTTATCTATAGATATTTTAAAACAAATTTATTTAAGTCAAAAGGAATTGGTTCAATTTGAAGTATTAAAATAGTAGAAAGATCATGTGAATATTGTAGTAAATTTTTAAATGATCATAAATAAAGTGAATCTGGGAAATGTTTCACAATGGGAAACAACTCAGAGGTTAGGAGAAACCTAAATTGAGCAAAGTTTTAATAGCTCCAAAGTTTACCCAGTCCTATCGCTGGACTACAATTCCTCATTGCCTTGACATGGTACCTGAAACGCTCTTTGTCAATTTCTGAATAATTTGAGATTCGTTTTTTCCTGGGAAAAAATCTGTCTTCCCTTCCTGAAACATATGCTCTCTTTGTTTTCAAAATGCACGATTTGCATTTCTGAGGATGGAACACACACACACACACACACACACACACACACACACACACACATCCCACACTGGTCCTTGCCTGGGCCATTTCTGTACACCTCTACATCCTCAACTCTGCCTACTGTTCAGTTTCTCACCTTTACAGATACTTGCTTGGGTACTTTTGAGTCGCTTTTGTGATGCCCTTCTTCTACATATATAGTTGGTTCCTCTGTTGGATGTGTTTCCAATGATTCTTCAAATTTAAATGCTATGTCTTCTGCATCTAAGGATGGCCAGTCTGATATGCCCTCCTGTTCAATCTGGTAAATACTTGAGCCATCATCAGGAAGCTCCTCAGACACACTCTGTTGGAAAAAGTAAACATAAAGAATACTTTTTTTGTGGGTCCTCCCAACATCTTCAGTTGTGCAATATTTTCTGACCAGAAAATTAATGCAAGGATGTATGTTTGAAACTGAAGAGAGGTATGAAGTTTCTTCTCCAAATTTCGAAAGAACAATTCAAACTGGTGTAAGGAAATCATAAAGGCTGGCAAATTACTTTCCCTGTTCTTTGTCTTTGAAATTATACCCATTTCACTATTGTCATGCACAAACTTTAAGGAAATAAAAAGGCTCAGATAGTCCCTTGATACTGCTCAGCACACACAGTATCAAGCCGGAGTACATTCACAAAAGGCACCACTGACCAGTTCCCATTTCATTATCCCACTTAGCTCCCAGATCAGCCTTGTGGCCAAGGAAACATTGAACCCTTCCCCAAGCCTGAGGCTCTTTGGGTCTGAGAAATGGGATTCCTCATAGCCAGCTGCTGTACCAGAAGCCTAACTTCAGTTCCCAGGGAAGAGCAAACTAGAGGCCTCAGAAGGGCCACCAGACACCCCAGCTCCATCGCATGCCCAATTGAAGAATTCTCACAAAATGTCTCTCCTCCACCTACTTTGTGCTCTTTAAAAATGTTCCATTGACTTATAGTCATTTCATACCAAATTCTAAAGAGAGTATCTGTATAATCATGTTTAGACACTAGTCAGTTTTACACCAAGATTATTCAAGGTTACTTGGGCCAGGGATATACCTGAGCAGCACAGATAATGCCTGGCAAGCATGAGGCCATGAGTTTCATTCCCGGTACCAAAAAAAAAAAAAAAAAAGGTTACTTAACACTGCCAGTTAAAACTTGATTGCCCAACTGAGGAATGGATAAGGAAAATGTGATATTTTTATACAATGGAATATCACTCAGCTATAAAGAAAGATAAACGAGGATTTTATAGGTAAATGGATACAACTAGAGACCATACTCATAAGTGAAATAAATCAGACTCGCATGTGTAAACACCATATTGTCTTCACAGTTTAAGAACCTGAAAGAGTCAAAACAAACCTGAAAGGTACAACAGATATTGTGAAAGGGAAAGAAACTGCTCAATAGGAAAGAACAGCTGGGATACTGGGATGAGGGAAAGGAGAAAAGAAAGAAGGAGAGAGAGACAGAGAAAGAAAGAAAGAAAGAAAGAAAGAAAGAAAGAAAGAAAGAAAGAAAGAAAAGAAAAAGAGAGAGAGAAAGAAAAAAAGAAAGAAAGAAAGAAAGAAAGAGAAAGAAAGAAAGAAAAAGAAAGAAAGAAAGAAAGAAAGAAAGAAAGAAAGGAGGTGTATATATATATACACACACATACACACAAGATAGCTAAGATAATTGTACTATTAATTTCTATTGGTTTACTGAAAGGAACGGTTAATATGTAATTGATCAATCTTGCATACCTATATCTGGTAATCTGAGCAACTACTTTGAAGATAACAATAAGTAATACAACAACCATTGTTCATTTCCTATCATTTTGTTTTGAAATTCTGTATCATTTTTATATTTTTGTGTTGTTTTGGTTTTGACTTTGTTTTTGTTATTTTGGTTTTGTTCTTTTCTCTTTAAAATAATAATTTAAAAAACTTCATGGTCTCAGTTTAACAAATAATAAGACTAGCCCAATTTACACAAAAGCCCAAATCATACAGAATGATCTTAAGATGCAATGTGTGATTTATTCTTTGATCAGGTCATTTGCTAATAAGTAAAATAAAGGGTAAAAGATGTCAGACAGTACCAGATACTATGCCAATTTCTTTGTTGTATAAGAAGGGATAAGTGGATTAAGAAGTTTAAGTTTACAAAATGAAGCTTCATTCTTGAGTTCTGTTTTTTTATCAAGCTACTGGCTGGTGCTATGGAAAAACTAAGGGTTTTTCTAACCAGATGGGACTGAATTCAAGTCCAGGATCTGTCCATGAATGATGCCTGAAACTTGATCAAGTTAATTCAACTTTTAGCCTCATTTTCCTCATTAGTCAAAGGGGGTGAATAAAACCTTCAGAAAGAAGATAAACTCATTCATTTTATGTTCCACAGCTTGCAGCATTGCCCTTCATTCCCTTTCTTCTAACCTTCTCTGCTCCTAGCTTTCTCTCCACAGCCTCCCACACCACCCACCAAAATAGAAAATGGAGGAAGAAAATCTTGAGAAAACTGGCAGCTCTCCAACTGCCATTCGCCATCTTCAGAGTGCCGCCTGGCCTTGCCTTCTCCACAAAGCCTTTCATGATCAAGTCTTGTGACCTATGCCTCTGTGTTAGAATTATCACTCCATGTTACAATTGCCTACACACTCACCATTGTAGTACTAATTGCCAGCAGATATGAGCACTATCTCATCTAATCTGAATGCTGAGCACAGCTCCATGTACTAGGAACTGCTTGTAATGCCACTGAGGCTAAGGGAAATTCTATAACTTGCCCAAGGTCATACTTGCAGTAACTAGCAAAGTTCTGTTTTAGTCCAGACAAACTGAATCTAAACTGTACTTTCTACTATTTGCCCTTCACCAAAAGTAATTCTCAAAATATGCTGTATGGGCTCCTGACAGTCTTTTGAGAGCCTTCCAGTGGCATGTAATGTCAAAAACATTTTCATAATAGTACTAAGATGTAATCTAACTTTTTCCACTTGTTGAAACTTGCACAGATGATAGAAAGCACTGGTGGATAAAGCGGTGAGCCAATACTTTTCCAGTGATTAACACATGAAGTTATAAAATAAGTCATGAAAAAATGGGTGTTCTACCTAAATGAGTTCCATGAAGGCAAGAACTATCTCTTAGGCACCCAGTAGGAAAAGAAATAAATGAGTTCCATTTTTTTAGTTTAAGAGGAAATTACTCACCATGATGGCTCAAAAACTCATAATTCAAAATTATAAATATTTGGTAAAAAGAATTTCATTAGCAATGCTCCTTTAAAAAATAAAAAAAAGTTGCATCAAAGAACTAACAAAGCCCTGACCTGGAAGTACAGAGATGCTCAGAATTGGGGCTACCATGTTCTGAGGGAAGGGAGTCACAGAAAGCACAAGGCCTCCTGGAATGGAACCATGCTCACCACGGCTGTCCAGACTAATCATACCCCAGGATCTACCTGGGAAACATCTACCAGTGGGACATATTTTGAAGTTCTGCTGTTGGGCATACAGTAGGTACCAAAAATGTGTCTGGAATAAAAGATACCACAAAGGAACTTTTCTATCATGAGCAGATACCAAGTTAAGAAATATTTTCCATCCAAGAAGAGGCGAGTTTCCTAAAAAAAACAGTAGCCAGGAGAGCTTCAGCAATTGCTCGTAAATGTCAGTGCTAAGTGGATGGTACCACAGAATTACAAAGAAACTGATATTTGTGTCTAAATCTTAATTTTAAATAAGGTGATGTCTAAGCTGGGCATGTAATAGTTGGCCTTTTTCACAGTTTCCTTACTACATTTACATAAATGTAGTAAATGGCATTAAGTCATTTTTAGTCTACTAATGAAGATTTCTATTCTGCTAATCTTAACTGATCTTTCGTTTTTAGTATAATGTGTCTGCTACAGGATTAGTGGCCAGAGGTTTTGCTATCTACCTGCAAACAGTGTCACCTAGAGGAAGCTATGCTAGAGAGCAGTCTTAAGAGCACAGTATGCATGGCCAGGTTTCACAACAGATTTATCCACAGAACATCACCAAGTAGCTATTAGGAGTGGAAATGTAGGTGATAAGAAAAGAAAGCACATCAAACTCTTGTAGTTCTACCATTTGTGGTCAGTCTAACATTATAGGATCCCAAGTTATAATGCTCACTTTCTGAACATAATATTTTATACTAAAAATGAAGGGGGATTTCAATATTTATGTAGGTATGGTCCTATTCTCAAAAATTAAAGAAGAAAACCATATTTAATGATATCATTTTATGAATCCTATGTAATGGAATTAATCATAATGTCATGTTTTTATATAAATGTGAAATTTTTATACACAGAGTAATACTTCCCATTCACAGAAAATATTCTCCAGATTATCTTGAACTCCACAGTTACTTTTGCCAGTTATTGACAAAAAGGAAACTGCTTCTGCAACAAACTTCTGTCACCACTTGTCTGTTTCTCAATAAAACATGTCCCCTTGCTTCTTCATACTTCTAACAACTCTTCTAACTGAACACAGATTGAAGTGTGGCTTTCATAAAAGCTAATAATTTTTAATTAACTCTTGAGCTGCTGACTAGAACTAAACGTTTCTAAACTAGAAGAGCTGTTAAAACTTTTTCCTCCTGAAAAGTTTTGGACCTTAGTTCAGGTCTGTGATAGCCACAGTGAACCAAACTAGCCAGTATTCCCAACTTTGAGTTGGATTAGGGTTGCTTATTGTTAAATACACCTCAAAAATAAATTAAAGGGAAAAATTAAATTATTTATATAAACATTCAAGCCACACAAAACAGATTGCTACTTTAATATAGTCAAGGAGGATTATTATTAAGTACTTTACCCTATTAGGTTCCTCATCAGTCATCTGTGAGACTTGCTCTGCTTCGATCTTCGGTGTTTCTGCTTGCCCCTGAGGTATTTTGACATATATTTTTCCCATTAAAGATATATCCTTGAAAGAAGAAAGGGAAATAAAGTGATGCCAATTTAGAAATCTTTGAGGTGCATTATTTAATATAGCAAAATTTGTCAATTAATCAGTAAATGAAAAATACACAATAGAAATATAAACTACTCAAAACATGCAGTAAATGAGAAATATAGAAAAAGGCACATTTAAATTATTTTATCTTCTTTCAATTCCGTGGTCTTTTAAATTGTTCATTTCTACAGATACATTATTAAATTTAATAAGGCAATTAACATAATATCAGCTACCATTAAATACTGTCATTAAATCAAACACACAAAACACCGCATAAGAAAATTAAAAAAGAAAATTCAGTCTAATCAAGAACAAAACAGAATGTTAAGTCAATAAAACTTCACAGGATATTACTTCTAGGGTGGTTCTTACAATGACAAATGCCAGGTGCATTAATATACGCTATTTATTTGAGATGGCAAGAAAACAGCACATTAAAATGATTAAGAATGAACCAGGAGTAGAGATGCTTGTTCTCTCCAAACTATGAATCCATTGATCAGACATCAACAGTCAAGTTATTTTTCTTCCTTCCACCTCAGTTTTATCATTCTTGAAATGGGCATTCAACTATATGACATTTTAAGTTCCCTTTGTCCCTTAGGCTTTTAATGTCAATAGCAAAATTTGAATGCCTGCTGAGCTTTAACACCTGCTTTTAAAAACTTTTTATGTCTAACTGATCTATTTATGACAGTAGGGTATTACGGTTCCCCATGACAACTGTGTTAGTGCTTATTTGATTTTCTATATCAGTTAACATTTGTTTTATATAGTTGGGTGTGACGGTATTTGGTGCATATGTATTTATGGTTGTTACCTCTTCCTCTTGGAGTTTTTCCCTAACAAGTATGTAATGACTTTCTTTGTCTCCTTTGGTCGGTGTTGTCTTGAAGTTCACTTTGTCTGCACATAGAATAGCTACCCCTGCTTTTTTTCTGGGTTACTGTTTATGTATTGTTTTCCATCCTTTGACTTTCAGTCTATGAATTTCTTTTTGAGTTAAATGTGTTTCTTCTATGCAGCATATCACTGGATCTTCCTTCTTGATCTATTTTTTTGTACCAGGAATCAAACTCATGACCTCAACTTGCCAGGTAGGCACTTATGCCACTGAGCTATACCCCCGGCCCTCATTTCTTGATCTACTGTGCCAATCTTTTTCCTTTCAATGGTGAGTTGAGATCACTGACATTGATGGTTATAACTGATATGCTTTGACTTATCCTTGCCTTATAATCTTCCTGTTGCTGGCTCCCTGTCTTTCCCCTCTCTTTAACTGCCTGTCTTGCCTAATGGATTCATCTTATTGGTGTTCTTGGCTTGTAGTATTTTCTATCTCTTTCTAAAATGTCCTGAGAGCTTGTTTGGTGGTCATAAACTTCTTCAATTGTTCTTAGGCATAGAAGTATCTTATTTCTCCACCAATTTTGAATGACAGGTTTGTGGGATACATCAACCTGGGTTGGAGGTTGTTTATTTTCAGGACATGAAACACTTCACCCAAAGCTCTCTTTTATTTAAGGGTTTGTGTTGAGAAGTCTTCTGGGATTTTAATAGGCTTCCCTTTATAGGTGACTTGTTTCTCTTCTCTAACAGCTTTTAATATTCTGTTTTATGCTGAATTTCTGAAATCTTGATTATTATATGCCTTGGTGCCTAGCCAAAGACTAAACCTAGACTCATTCAATCACTATACACTAAACTAATTTGAAATGAATCAAAGATCTAAATATTAAAACAGAAACACTACATCTGGAAGAGAGAATAGGTAGACCACTTGAAGACATTGGTGTAGGCAAAGACTTTATGAACAAAACCCTTATTGCATGGGAAATACTACAAAGAATCCACAACTGGAATCTCATCTTATTGAAGTTTTTTCACAGCAAAAGAAATCAACAACAGAGTGAAAAGACAACCCACAAAGTGGAAAAAAAATTGCCAGCTATTCCTTAGATAAAGGGCTAATATCTAGAACATATAAAGAACTCAAAAAAAATCAGACTTCTCCCAAATTTAAACACCCAATCTAAAAATGGGCATCTGAGATGAATACACACTTCTCAGATGAAAAAATATGAACAGCAAATAAATATAAGAAAATATGTTCAACATCACTAGTCATTTGAGAGATGTAAATTAAAACAATCCTGAGACTCCATTACTCTCAAAAGAATAGCTATTATCAAGAAATCAGCCAATAACAAATGCTGGAGGGGCTGTGGAGGTAAAGGAATCTTTCTCCACTGTGGTGGGACTGTAGAATGGTGCAACCACTATGGAAATCAGTGTGGAGATACTTCAAAAAACTTAAACTAGAGGTTCTACTCAACCCAGTTATTCCCTTTCTTGGTATATTCACAAAAGAATTAAAAGCATCACACCACAGTGATATATGCACATCATGTTCACACTGGCACAGTCTGTAACAGTTAAATCTTGGAAATAGCTCAAATGGCCATCAACTGATAAGTGGATAAAGAAGATGTGGTTTTTTTATATAATGAAGTACTACTTGGCCCTAAAGAAGGATACACTTGAGACATTTATAAGTAATTGGATGCACACTGAGAACATACTCTTAAGAGAAATCACTTGGACACACACGTGTAAATATCACATTGCTTCACTGGTATGAGAAACCAAAAGTATAAGTCAGATCCAAATGTATAACAGACATTGTGAAGTAAGGAGAAAATGTTCAAATGGGAAGGGGCACCAGTTAGAGGGTAGGGGACAATGGAAAGAAAAAGAAAAAAATGAAAAGGATAAAATGGAAACAAAGCTTTTGTAAATAAAGAGGGGAAGAGAGATTAAAGGGGGAGGGGAATGAAAAGAAAGATTCAAGATATATCATGTACAGGTATAAATTCCTTATGATGAGTGTGATCATTACGTACATCTAAATTGTACCAATAAACTTAATTAATTCAAAATGAATATAGTCATATCAAAATTTAAAAAGAAAACTTCACTGGTTGTCCTCAATGACAGAAAAGACAGGAAAAAAGACAGTGTTAGCATAAAGACATCACAGAAATCATGCAAGATAAAGTACAGGAATAAAACGGAAATAAAATGAAAAAATATTGTCAACATACATTTAATTGGAATTTCAGAAAGTGGTTGGCTAGGGTCAGAAAATATTTGCACAAAATTTGCCAAAACTTCCAAATTTCATGACAACTCTAAACTCCCTAATACAAAAAGCTTAGTAAACTCCAAACAGAGGCACACAAATGCTCCATCAGGTACAGTAGAAACAAAGTAATAAAAGCCCAACATATTGAACAGGAGTGGTGACAGCGGACACCCTTGTCTTGTTCCCGATTTTAAAGTAAAACCTTTCAGTTTTTGTCCATTGAGAATGATGTTAGCTGTTGGATTGTCATAGATGGCTTTGATCAGGTTA